AAATTAAGTACACCCAATGAGACCTATTTTGATGCTGGCGTTTCCAAAGATTGAAAGGAAAATTATTGAATAATATTGAAAGAGGGTGGGGAAGAGATTATTTTTCCTTTATGGTAAAGCCTTTACGGCAGGTTAATGGTAACAAATCCAACCGTATATATTTTATATTTTAGGCCAAATCTTGTATTTATATCTTTAAAATTATTTATTTTAACCATTAACATTTTTTATTACTTGTCTTCCTGGTTAACACCCTACAGCTTTCAAAACGAGTACAAAAACCAAAAATTTAACTTAGAAATCGCGTGGCTCACACATGCCCGTTATATTCCATTAGCTCATCACTTGTGTGGCGTTTATTATTAAAGGAAATATTATACTTATTTTTTTTATTTTGGTTTCCGTCTGGTATCCGGGTTTCGTCCTGATTAATCTGAACCCGACTTGCGTTGCGCACCTGGAAATGGTGGGTGAGTCTCTCAGCGGGAGTTGCTGCGTACACAAGGTATCGAATTCGAGACCTTACTTAAGCTAGTACAAACCGTTTACCACTTGATCCAACCCTTTATTGGTAGGAAATATTATACTTATAATACAATATAAAACGAGAAAAATACATTGCAGTGTTAATTTAAAAAAGAAAATTAATTTTAAAATACATAATTTTATTTAATTAAAATTTAATTTAAAATTTAAAAAAGAAAATTAATTTTAATAATACCAGATATATCATATATCTGGGCCCACGTCAATTATTCGGCAGCTTCTTATCGGTTAATAATTTCTCGAGTCCAGTAATATATATATATATATATATATATATATATCTGGAATCTATATTCCCGTGATAAGAATAAGAAATTGTCACCCCTAGCACTGATGACTTGAATAATAGTTAAAAATGTAAATGAGCGAGGACTAATTGAGCAAGAGTAGTGGTAAGGGCAGTCGCCCGTTTGCACTCTCTTGGACACACCCGATTCTCATGGTGACATGTGGCAATCATATTATAAAATGATTTTTATAAGCTACAAGTTAAGGACATTTTTTAATAATAAATTTATTAAAAATTTTAAAAATAAATATAGATTTGAAAATGAATGT